CCAACCTTGACCCTCTCCCTAGTTTACATTTCTGAAGCAAGCGGCTCCAATATCCCCCTCTCTTCTGGTAGGGGATGTGAAGGAAAAACAGCTTGCACAGGAGCATTCTTTTATTTTCCATATTGCTTATTGCATCACCTTAAACCAATATACCACAGTTCATTTTTTATCTAAGAGCTAAGGGCCCTTTAAACCAGCCATTCCTTATTTATACTGTTAAAAAAAAAAAAGAGAGAGAGAGAGAAGATCCTTTAGTTTCATGTTCCTTTATTGTATTTTGTAAGGGACTGAGCACATATTGGATACTGTGTAAATGTGAAACACTCTAACAATAGTAACTGAGACAGATGAGAAACTTAAGGAAGCAAAGTCACCATTTTGAATTTAGCTTTTTATTGACTGGCTGAGTGATTTGGGAGAGACAATGTGGCTCCACGGCTAAAGAGCCCACAGGGATTCAGAGGACAAAAGTTTGAATCTCAGTCACAGCAGCAGCTCCAGTGACCCCAGGCAGGCAGCTTCCTTTCCCTGGACCTCAAAATTTCCCCACACATACTAGGTTTAATGCCACAAAACCATCTCCCAGGGATGTTTAAGCCAGGCTGCTGTATGTATTTATACAGATTGTGCAATGCACGAGTGTGTCAGCTGAGAGGGTGAATGGGGGCTGAAACGTAGCCCATGTTCGTTCATCAATCTGCGCGCCCTGGTGATGGGCCATGTCCATCTGCAGGAAGAGGTACTTTTTCCTAATTTTCACAAAGGTACTACATGGGCTAGTGGAGGCCCTGTATGAATGAAGCAAGGTGACAGTGATAGGGCACAGAGCTTAGCACACAGAGTTTAGTGAATGGATACATTCACTAAATACAGTTATTGAACATCAGCTATGTGCCAGGCCCTATTCTAGGGGCTGAAGATATGGAGATGAATATAAACAATTTCTGCCCTTGCATCCTCTTTCCTTCACCAGACCATTCTCCCCTATATTCAATCATTAGCAAGTCCTGTTGACATAATCTGCGAAATATCTGTCAAATCTACCCACTTTGTTTCAGTGCTAACACTATGTTTCGTTATTTCTTACCTATACTGCTGCAACAAATGGGCTCCCACTTCTACTCTGGTCTTCCAAACAAAAGCAAGAGTGACTGGATGAAAAAGTGAATCAGATAACACCAACCCCTTGGTGGCTATAATTTAACCCAGGGTCCTCACCATGATGTTAAGGCTGTGTCCACCTGGCCTTAGTTACCTCATCATTCATCTGGATCACTTGGTTCACACTCTTGCCATCTGTATTAGGAGTCTCCAGAGAAACAGACCCATAGGATATATATATATATAATCTCCTACGTATGTGTGTGTGCATCCTACATATTTAAATCTAAACAGGATATATATTCTACGTATGTATATATGTTGGATATATTCTATATATGTGTATATACAAGATGTACATTCTATGTACGTATGTATGTATGTATGTATGTATGTATGTATTTTATGTATATATAAAAGGAGATTATTGTGAAGAATCTGTTCATGCAATTATGGAGGCTGAGAAGTCCCACAGTCTGCTATCTGCAAGCTAGAAGCCCAGGAAAGTCTGGTGTATTTCCAGTCTGAGTTTGAAGGCCTGAGAACCAGGTGAGCCAATGGAGTAAGTCCCAGTCCAAGGGCAAGAGATGAACAGACCAATGTCCCAGCTCATACAGACAAAAAAGAAGGGACTGACTCCTCCCTTCCCCTGATTTTTATTCTTCTCAGGCCCACAGAGAATTGAATGATGCCCACCTACAGCAGAGTGGGGAGCAATCTACAGTTGACCGTTGAACAACATGGGTTTGAACTGTGCGGGTCCATTTACGCATGATTTTTAAAAAATAAATATAGTCTGCCATCCTTATTTCTGGCTTTTGTGTCTGCAGATTCAAGCAACTACAGATCAAAATCAGCATTTTCAATCAGTGGTTGGGAATCTGCTTGGGGCTGACTATATGCACTGTTTATATAAGTGGCTTGAGCATGCATGGGTTTTGGTATCTGCAGGAGGTCCTGGAACCAATCCTTTGTGGATTCCAAGGGAGATGACTGTAGTTAAGTTTTTGGGAGGGCGTCAAAAGTTATATGTGGATTTTCCATTGCACGGGGGTGGGGGATTGGTGCCCCTAACCTCTGCATTGTTCAAGGGTAAACAGTAGTTTATTGAATCCACCAATCCAAATGTTAATCTCATCTGGAAACATCTTCAAAGACACCCCCAGAAATAATGTTTAATCTGGGCACTTGTGGCCTAGTTGAGCTGATACATAAAATTAATAATCATACCATCCTACCAAAACTGGCCATTCTGCCCTTCAAACGGCTTAGCTCTTTCTTTGTATAGTCTGATCCCTTTGGCTGGAATACTTTTTCCCTGGTTCTTCTCTTGAGTATCTCTCATCCTTTTGTGCTCAGTGGGAAGGTCACCTGGACCACCCTTTAAAGGGGTGTCCATCACCATCCATTGCCAGGTTGTTCTATCACAAAGCAGCCACATTCATTTTGTAAGTACAGAGTCTTTGTTTATTTTCTGTTGTATCTGTTAGATTGTAAGCTCCATAACAGTAGGGACAATGCTTTTTTGTATCTACTCTCTACACCTTCAGTATCATGCTAGTCTCTGGTGCATAGTAATAAATATCAATAAATATTTGCTAAATCAAGTCATTACAAGGAATTCATCTAATAGAAGCGTAATACCACAATGTGATGTAGAGATTGTAGTATGACAAAAGCAGTGGTACCCTGGTAAACTTACTCTCAAAAATAAAAAAATAAAATAAAATAAAAAAAAAATAAAATAAAATAAAAAAGGCCCTGATTTGTCATTTGCTGATTTCCATAGAGGTGTAAATATTCTCATCACAGTCGATTTTAAGCTACCAGTGGTTTAAGAACTGACTTGCAAAATTCCTGAGTGTTTAACAGTTGGTTCTTTAAAACTGGTATGGCTGGCTCTAGCATATCACTGGAAGAAAGGTCAGCATGGGTGCAGTGAGTACTCAGAAGAGAGGCAGTAGTTCATCTTGAGCAAAGGCTTCTTGGAGAAGGTGATACTTGATCTATTTTTAGAGGATGTGTATGTTGGCTCAGGTTCTATAGTGCTAAATTGGTTGACATAGCCCTGTTCTCAGTAGCCCACATTCAACTGTTCTTGGCTCCCCTACTCAGTTCATCTTTGCTTGGCTGGGAGTTATCACTTGACTCAGTGCAATCCTCAGAAAATCTTTCCAGGTGGCTGGTGTTTTACTAGGTTTGCTTTGAATCCAACAGAAGAGAATAACATAGGGTAGAAAGTTAGTCAAGGGAAAAAGGAGTTTTCCAGAGAGACAATGTGTTGTGTGCAAAAGTGAGAGAGTGAATGCAACACAAGAATTTGTTAAATCTATATGTATAAGGGAGGAAGTACAAGGAGATTAGCTCCTGACAGGCTGTATTTGATAGACTGAGAAGCATAAACTGGGCTGGGGCAGGTGGCAGAGGGGAAAGGAAAGAGACTGATTACTTTTCCTCTCTCATTCTTATCACGGCTGGTAACTGTGGGGGTTTTGTTGTTGTTTCTTGGTATGGAATCATTTGATTAATATGTCTCTTCCAAGAGACTGTAAACTCCACAAGGGCAAGGATTGTCTTGTTTACTATTATTTTCTCGGTTTCCAGCACAATGCCTGATACATGAAGTAGGCAACAAAATACAGCCTTGTTGAATGACAAATCACCTAGGGAACTTTAAAAAAAATGCCCATGCCCACATACCCCACAACAAGATCTGCTATAAATCTTTCTCTTAACCTCTCAACCATAATATGAGAGGTGGGAGGGGGATAATATTGGAGCTGGCTTCCAAATCTTGCAAAAGCCACCCAAAGGATTCATCTTCATTCCTCTTCCCAAACTCAGTCAAGTGGATCTTTTAAAGGATTTTACCAAAAGTGTGACATTTAATATTCCCTTTGCATAAATGGGCCTGTTGGTAGTATAGAGGATTCCATAGAGGTGCTAAGGTGCTGAGACCAGTAAGAAAGCCCATACTGTAATCAGGTAAGAAATGATGCAGGTCTGAGTAAAATCACTGGCAATGGATGTGAAGAGGGAACAGATTCAAGAGATACTTGGAAGATAGATTCTACAAGATTTGTTGATTATTTGGGCATGGGTGAAAGAGCAAATGAGAGAGAGGGAGGAATTTAGGTTGAAGATTGGAGTGATCATTAGTGAATACGAAGGAGGTAGTTCACTTTTCAAGTTGCTATATTTGAGGTGCCTATGGGACATGGGTGAGGAGGGGTTAGTCAATGAAGTTGGGAATACAAGGAGCTCAAGAGAGAAGGGGCGGGGGCTCCCCTCTCCCTATTCTAATCAAGAGCTCTAGAGAACATTAATATTAGAAAAATAATTCTTGAAAGAGACTGAGAAGAACGACCTGAGAGGAAGGAAAACCGGACTAGTGTCAGAAAATAAGTGATAAAGACTGTCCAATAGTGTAAAATGGTGCCTAAAGCTTAAGTTAGAGGACCTGAAAATATCTCCCAAGAGTTTGGCAACAAGGACACTGATGACAACAAGGATATTTTCCGTGGCGGCATAAGCAGCAGCACAGAGGACGAAAGAGGAAGTGGAGACAGCGAATGTAGACTACCTTTTCAAGAAACTTGGCTGTGAATCAGAGGGATGTTAAGATTGAATGGGACATGAAGAGATCAGAGTACGTTTCTAACTGAGCGTAAGAACGAAGGGTGGAGCAGACCTGAGCGTCACTTTACCAGCCCCCATCCTCCACGTGACCAGCAGACAACCCACACGGCCCTGGTATCGCGGAGACTACAGCCCCCAGAAGGCCCCGCGGCGCTGGGGGGCGGAGTCGAGGCCTGGCGCGCGCCCCAGCGGCGCGAGCGGAAGAGCAAGACCTTCGAGGACGCGGCGGAAACGGAGAGCGACGGCGCCCCCGGTAACTAGCATCCCCGCGTCCCTGCGCCTCCTTCGTTCCTTCCCTCTGTATCCCAAGTTTAGGGCCTGTCAAGTCCGCTTACCCCCTCACACTTGGGACAAGACTTAACTCTTTTGTTACTGGTATTTTTTTCTTTACGTGACGCGCAGGGCGGGCCCCCGCCTGAGGCTGAGGGTACTGGGAAGCTCCCGCCCTTCGACCCCCGCGGGCTCCGGGTTGCTGAGGACACTCCCGCGGCACCCTTGTTTTCCCAGGGGCTGTGTGCCCACTGTGGGCCCTCGCTCCAAATAATCCCTGCGGTGGGAACATCCCTTTCCCGGGTTTCAACAGGTACTGAGCGGATCCGTGATGACCTAGGGGTATGGGGCTGTGGGCCGCAGCGGCCGCCCCGAGACGACCACGGGGCTGTGGGCGATGTCCGGGCCGCGAGCCTCTCGAATGAGTCCGCTCCACTGCCCAGGATCCCGGGACTGGGCTGGTTGTGAGCAGTCTGTCCGGGAGGGTGGACTTCCTGGTTTTCTTGGGACGCCCTCGGAAAACCCCAACTCCGATTATTAAAGTTTTTCTTATCAATAAAGCCGCCTCTCAGAGTTGAATAAAGAAAGAATCTTAGGCTTTTAAGTCTGATGTCCTGTGGGGAAGTGTCTCGGGGCTTCCACTTGCTCAACCTGTGATCTTTTGTAGCCCGTGTACCGCAGCCTGGGGCTTCCCTTTATGAAAAATGGGGATAATAGCCTTTGGCCTGTCTTCCTTCCAATGTTGTGGTAATCAACTTCTTCCTTCAGTAGAAGTGATATATGTGAGAAAGCATGTTTCACATATAACCTGACTATTCTGTCTTAAGTCCAGGTCAGTTGAATTTTAAAACCACGTTTATGTCTTTGTAGACTTGATCATAAGCATGGTCATGATCTTTATGAGGATGGAATGAGTTGATAGACAGGAGGAAAGTGTCTTTGGAAACGAATATGGGCCATGCAGATGTTCTTATGCCATGTTCCTGATGAAGAGGCTGTATCAGGGCCCTGTCACCTGTGGAGTCAATATTAAACTTCATCTGGATTTTAAAGTGCACCAGAATTTGTACACTTCCCTTCTCCTGACACAGACACACCTGTCTTACCCTTGTTGCTTTGTTATAACCTTCTTTCTGCGCTCGCTACACAGGTACAAGTATCTCAGATGTGGTGCTAAACTAATGCTTGTCTCCAGTAGGTCTTGTGTCTTTTCTCCCCTTTCAGATACTACTGCTAAACCTAGCTCTGCTTCTAACACAATCCCATTAACGTAGTGTGCGTATTAGCTGAAATATTGTGGTTATTTTCACCTACCCTAGGTATATGCAAGGAGTCTGTTTTTCCTCAGAGTTAGAATTCAGAATATAAATAGCCAGTATTCAGTTTTCTTTTATGGCAATTAAGCTCTGAGACTCTAAGCAGGTGGCTTTTTGTCTTATTTTTCTTCCCCTTGTAGAGAATGGGGATTTTACAATCAATTTTTTTTATGGTTTGGAGGAGTAATAAATAGGTAATCAACTTGTATTTATTCTGAAATCATTGGTTGAAAGATACTTGAATGTGGTTAAGAAAACAAGATGGCAGTACAGTTGTTCAGATCCTGGTGATGTGACTTCTAGTTTATGACTTGGCTAAGTAGTTGATCTTTCTAAGACCTGTGCTAATTTCTAGAATGGAGATAATAGCATTTACCTCACAAAGTGTCTATAGAGATGAAATGAGATGTGACTATAAAGAGCTTAGTAGTGCCTGGAGTAAGTGCTCATTATTCTGTTGCTATTGTAATTGATGACTACGATAATGATAAAAAGATGATAATTTTAGGTAAAGTATTTTCTTGATATTACTTTTTTGTTTGTTTATAAAATGAAGGTAGTTATCCTTAACCCATAAACTTCAAATTTTATAAACAGAAGTTCTCAGATTTCAGGGTTTTTGTTATTTTTTAAGCTGTTGCATTTTATGTAAAGATTATATTATGCTGTTTTTCATTTTTAGAGATTTCTAAAATGCTTTTGTGAAGATTGTTGGGATGTGATGTTGGACTGGTGCTTCATTTAAAACCTGTAGTAAGAATGCAGTTTTCTGTCTGCACATTGTATCTCGTAGCAGAACAATTATCTGTGTTTATGATTTATATATTGATTAAATATTGTGGTTATTTTCACCTGTCCTAGGTATATGCAAGGAGTCTGTTTTTCCTCAGAGTTAGAATTCAGAATATAAATAGCCAGTATTCAGTTTTCTTTTATGGCAGTTAAGCTCTGAGACTCTAAGCAGGTGGCTTTTTGTCTTATTTTTCTACTGACAGAATTTTATAGAGTAGGGGTCCCCAACCCCCAGGCTGCTGACCAGTACCCATCTGTAGCCTGTTAGGAACAGGGCTGCACAGCAAGAGGTGAGCTGTGGGCGAGCAAAGGAAGCTTCATCTGTATTTGGAAGCTTCATCTGTATTTGCAGCCGCTCCCCAGTGCTAGCATCACTGCCTCAGCTCCATCTCAGATCATCAGGCATTAGATTCTCATTGAAGCACTGGTCCCTGATGCCAAAAAGGTTGGGGACTGCTGTTATAGAGCATTTTTTGTCCTTCTCTCCTACTCCCACCATTTTTTTTTTTTTACAGCCAGACTTTTCGACTCAAAGTTTAGTGCAAGGTCCAGAAGACTTGGTAAGTGCATATTTTGAAGGTAGAAACTCTTAGTGATTGGTGCTGATGGTGGGTGGCATTGGTATGTGTGTATCTATAGGGAGTGAGAGTTTAGAGAAATCAAGGACGAAAGCCTAATAGAGAAAACTGATTTGTTGATCAAAGCAGAGTTTTAAGGTTAAGAAATGAAATGTTTATTTTTGATTTCTTTAAATACCCTATTGACTACAAGATATTAGATTCAGATATTTTTTGATATTTCTGATATAGCTCTACTTTGTCAGTTTTAATTTTACCTTTAGTCATGAATCAGCAAGATAAATATTTTTTCACTACAGATTTGTTTATGAAATTATAACAATAGAGTCAGTTCCATTAAAATCTACTTTCTGTGCGATAATGTTATTTTTTCCTTTATGTTTTAAATACTTTTGTTCCTTGACTTTTTTTTTTTACTTAAAAGAAGTTTCTGGAAGGTAGACTCATTCTCATCTATAACATCTAAGTGTGCATAGTGAATGCTGTTAGTGATGACTGTGCTGCATAGTTCTGAATAAGAACATTTTGTTGATTGTCCTTTGTCCCTAAGGCATGCTCTGGAGAAACAGTATGGTATTGTGTAAATAACCTAAGCTTTGGAGTTAAGACAGCCCCAGGTTTGAACCCAGGCTTTGCTACTTACTAGTTTTGTGACTTTGGTTCATACAGTCATTCTGAGTTCACTTTTTCATCATCTGTAAAACAGGGATGATAATACCAACCCTCTGTGACTGAAAAGATTAGAGATTATTTGAACTAGATGCATACTAGCCAGGCTTAGTAAGAAAGATGTTGTTATTTTATTTTTTATTATATTTTTCTGATAGTCATGGATTTTGGTGCTACATCTATATTCATTCCCCCGGTGCTTCACATGATCAGTGTACTTTTCGTTAGCCAAGGTTAAGGTTGTTGATTTTGACCATGGAACCCTGAAACACAGCAAAGCTAATTGGCCAACATGTTTGAATCTTTGACCCTGTCCTTATTAGCTCCATAAGCTAACTATTCACAAAATATCTCATCAGAATAAATGATAAGAATGGTATGTTGTTGATTCAGCATTCGTGCATTCATTAGACATCACAGAAGTAAATGAACTAGTGCTGAATTAAAAGTATAGATTTTAAATTATGAAACTATAAATATAATATTGGCACTCACGCTTTGTTTAAAACTGGTGACCTGCAAGGTGATCTTTGACAAACACTAACCTGAACAGTAATTTAGACATTTATTTTAGTTGTTAAATTATATTTATTGCAGACTTATCACCCATAGGAGAAGTGAGAAGAAATGGAACTAGGCTAGTCATGTCTTCAAAGAGAACCCTACTTCTTTGCCACCCATCACAAAATGTGCTCTTAGCGGGTGGGGTGGGGAAGAGTTCTCCATTAGTGAGCCCAGCAGGATGGATGAAGCTTGTGAAACTCCAAAGAACTTACTGAATTGCAGCTTGAGATAGACAAGAAGTTATAGGATGCTGCTTAGCAGCAGTAAAAGCTGCATTTGGAGCTTCTCTCAATGCTCCCAGTTCGTGGTGTGTATTTTTCACTCTTACGCAAGCTTTTTGTATAGTTTTCTATTCTTTAAATTCAGTCTTCAGTTTATAAATATTTGTTGTCCCTCTTTTTTTTTTTTTTTTTTTTAAATGTCAAACATGGCTGGTTTTGGACTAGGAATAAAAATAGAGAAGCACTGTCAGAAACAGCAGGTTCTGGTGTCTGGTAAGGTTCCCAAATAGCATGGCTTAACCTGTGAATATGGTGGTATGGATTTCTGGAATAGTCAAGTGGTTGACAGTTCATAACCACTTAACTTGGTGCAGAGGCAAAAATATGGGCAAAAAGTATATGGCACTTAATATGGGATTTGCCTTTTAGAAAGGAATATCTGTGGTGTTAATATTGACTTGCAGTTGGACTGTTTCCAAGTTCTTTGCCATGGTATACCAGAAGGGTTTTAAAGAAAGAAAGAAAGCACTTAGATTTAAATCCTGACCGCTCAAATTTATACCAGTAGTCCTGTTTGTATTTGTTTTCATATCTGTAAAATAGAAATAACAGTACCAACCCTGCTTGTTTATAAAGATTAGAGAGAAAAGTTAACAAGAATGTCTCGGAAATGGGATGGGTTACTGGGGGAAAGAAAGAAGAACTCACATAAACAATAAGTAGAGAGTGAAGGTTAATCAAAGACAGAGGAGAAGTCTGACACTGAGAGGGACAAGTCAGACAAAGGCAGTTAAAAAGGTTTCAAAGGCAGTTAAAAAGGCTTAATCAGAGATGTAGAGGAAGGGCCGACTTAGAAATGACATAGACAGATGCAGAAGGGGAGACAGAAAGAACGTGAGAGAACAACCGGGGCATGACCAAGAGATGGAGAGCTTATTGAATTAATTTTTGTTTATTTGAAGAGAACTTGTAAATATTTGTAATTAGCTAGGAAAGGGAAGAAAAGCAAATATTAGTAGTAAATCAAGTAATATGTTTATGTGGTTTTTATTACACTATGATTTTTCCTTAAATACTAAATTTATTTTGCATATTCATCATGCATACACGAAGCCAGCTTTTGTGTTGCAGACCTGTTTACTACTTACTTGATCCCTTTCATAGTGTAAACATATTTTTAAAAAAATTAAATTATTTCTTTGGAATTTTTTTCTTAAAAATCTAATAAACGCTTACTATAGAAAACTTGAAAAATATAGGAAATTTTTGTAAGAATGACAAAACAACAAAAAACACTCATAATTTCACAATCTAAACAAGGCCTACAGTTTTCATGTTTTTTTTTGTTCTTTTTCCTAGGCATTTACTAACGCTCTTCTACTTTTCTAAAGGAATCAGAAAGCTGTTTATATGTCCAAAATGATTTTATAAATTAACTATTTGTGGTAGAGTTAATTTTACATTCCTATTTTGGCACTTAGTACTTCCACAAACTGTATACCTATTTTTATTCTTCTCTAGATTAGATTAATAGCTACAGACTATGTTATTCATCTTTGTGTCTTAGACATCTAGTAAAGTGTTTTACATGTAGGTACTCAGAATATATTTGAGATGAGTTCTTAAGTTCTCTAAGTAGAAACTGCCTTAATTTAAACAAGTCTGCCTAATTTCTTAGTGGTAGTTTGAACTTTTCCTTAAAGTTGAGAAAAGCTTGATTTTAGGGCGTGTGTGCATGTATGAGTTTAACATGAAGCTACTGAACTAAGAAAGGGTGCTTCTGTTTAGCTTTGTCTTGTAGCAGGCTACTCTGAAATTTAGTGATGTAAACTGTTTATTATGCAGGGGATTCTGTCTTAATTCAGATTGGGCAGTGTGGAGATGGTTTGTCTGAGCCTTAGCTGGAAAGACTTGAAAGCTGGTGCTGACTTGCATGCTGAGAGCAACAATCTGGAGGCTTCTTTACTCACATTGTCTCATGGTTGATGTTGGCCATCTCCCAGAACACTTACGTACCTAAGCTAATTTGAGCTTCTTCCTAGCATGGTGGGTGGCTAGTTTCTAAGAGTAAGCATCCCAAGAGAACCACGTAGAAGCTATGTTGCCTTTTGTGAACTAGCCTGGGAAGTCACTGACACAAGCTTGTCAAATTCAAGGAGAGCAGCAATTACACCGAACCCACTTCTCACAGGAGTGTCAGAGTCACACTGTAAGAAAAATGGGGTAGGGAATAGGTGCCATCTTTGGGAAAGACAGTCTGTTGCAAGCAGTTTCTGAACTGAGAAATAGTAAGTTAAAAAACAAGTTAATAAAACTATCACTTTTTGAATCCTGTTGAATATTAGTAATGCTAATGGTGTTTTTATTAATTTAGTTTAACAACTTACGCTAAATTTGTAAAAACTTTTAAACTCAAAACTATTTTAAATTATTTTCTTGGCTTTTAGGCTCTGAACAAGATGTTATTTCTCTCTCTTTTTTTTTTTTTTTTTTAACTAGGTTTGCAAGTTGGCCAGTTTCTATATTTGGCTTTATCCCACCCCTATTTATTTATTTATTTATTTAGCGAGGCAACCCTTGGTTGACCTCACCGAGTGCAAGGACTTTGTCAGCTTACAATCCCTTATTTTTTAATTTTTTACACCTGCTGCATCTGGTCTTCTTAGATGGTCTCCCATCCAAGTACTAACCAGTCCCGACCCTGCTTAGCTTCTGAGATCAGACAGGATCGGGCTTGTGCAGGGTAACATGGCCATCATAGACTATCCCACCCCCTTTTAAAATTCATCAGTCTTGTTTTGTAAATAATCTGATACATGTAAATAATATACTGCATAAAATTTTAAAAATCAAGAAAGAAATAAAATCCACCTATATATAATTTCACCTCTTAGGGGTAACCAATTTGAAGTCCATAACCATACTTCCTAAATTCAAAGTGTGAAAATTGGAAGTTTTAAAGAAGTTTGTGCCAACTTGGTTGGCAGCAAAAGTCAATATAAGGCTATTTGTAGTCTATCATACGTAGCATAATGATTAATACTTTTTCCCACAGAAATATTAATGTGTTTAATTATAGAACATTGCCCCAGACCTTGGTTGGAATATTTTGTACTATATAAGGTATGTACCATATTAACCTTTCTAAAATATGAAAAAAAAAAAAAATCTGAACTCTGCAGCCTGCCTGACCCCAGGACTTTTGGGTAAGAGATTATAGACCGGAATTAAAAACGCTAGTTCTAGGAAAAGATAAATTTATTAGCCTATCTTAGTGGTTCTAAACTTTTTTTTATCATATGACTCTTCCCAGAACTTTTGTGCTTTCATTTTACTTTTTCATTTTAGGAAAAGATTCAGAAGGAAAGGCAGTAGTCTTGATTGTTTATGTGATGGGTAATTCTCTTCAACCATCCCAAATAACTGTTTAAAATTCAGTGTGACTACCTTTCAGTACATTCAGAATTTCTAGTGATCTTTTAGACTTCTTGGCTCTTCCAGTGTTAGAACCAATGATTTATTAAGTAC